GGAAAGGGCTCCGCGGGGAGAGGCCGGAGCGCCGTGAGAGGGAGCGCGCCGGGGTTCAGCCTCCCCGCCCGGGCGCCGCCCGCGCCCCAGCCCGGCCTTTACCAGACGTCCGGGCTGCGAAGGGCCAGTCGCAGCAAGTAGAGCGCCGCGCTGCCCAGGCCCAGGCCGATGAAGCCGATCATCGGGATGAGCTGCCGGGACAGGGAGCGCTTTTAGGGGCGCGCCCCCCAGCTGCGCTCTGTCCATCCGCTGTTACCCACCTTGGGCCCCGAGCTCGTCCTGCCGCAAGAGGGGACCCCAGACCGCCCCCCATAGTCTCCCTCACCCCACAGCCATCTGATCCGAGGTAGGTTTAGGGGACGAGGGCGCCCGGGCGAAAGATTAGGGCTACCGGGGCACGAGGAAGAGGCAGGCCAGCGGGAGGTTTGGGCGCCGCAAGGAGAACTTAGGGTCAGCCTGGAGACCAACTCACCCCGGGATGTCTTTTGATTTGCCGGTAGAGACGGCCCCCCACGCTGGCTCCCGCCATTGCTCCTGCCCCACGGTCCTGGCCTGCAACTCTGCTGCGCTACTTGGGCTCCTCCTGGGCTCCCGCCCCGCTGGGGAGGGTCAGCCCAGCCCTGGCCCAGCCCACTTGTTCAGCTTCAGCCGCCCCCACCCGCCCTGCTTCCTCCCAGTGTCCCGAGCTCCCACTGCGGGAGCAGAGAAGTTTCTACTCCTCTCTTCCCAGGCGGCCAGAGTGGCCCAAAGGGTACCCTCCCGCTTGGGCCAGTACAGGGGCACGGGGAGAGACCCCCCAGTGGGCTTTGACCCAGAGAAAGCTGGATGAGGGGTACAGAATGGGGAGAGGGCGTGGCAGTGGGGCAGGTGGGCTCCAGCAGGTGCAGGTGGGAGCTGGCAGGTGGGACCCGGAGGGCCAGGATGGCGCCAGGATGGCCGCCCTGCGCTCCCCGAGCAAGCGAGGCCCGGAAGATGGTCTGTTCCTCCTCAGTGTCCTGTGCAGGGGGCACCCCAGCACCAAAGCTGCCCCCACCAGTCCTGGGTGGTCGCCCCGAGGGGCGGGGGGGGCTCCGGGAGTGTCTTCAGCCTGGCCCCGGACAGAGTAAGCACTTCGCAGAGTTTGGGGGCTTGCGATACCCAGGATACCAGTCCCGCCTGCCTCAGTCAGGGTAGGGGGAAGGGCATCACTAAGAAGGCCACACAGGGGCCCTCCCCGGTGGCCCAACGGGTCAAAGCACAACGCTGCGACACAACCCTATGAAGCTGTCTGCAGCCACTGCAACGCAAGTTCAATTCCCAGCCCCGGAGCTGACCCACAGGGCGCAGCAGCCCCCTCCTGTCCACCCGCTGCTCCCCTCAGCTGTGTACTTCGTCAGCTGGCCTGTTCTGCTCCCCACTGTCTCTGGTGAATCCAGTCTCCCCACACCTCTGGCCGGTACCCCAGTTCTTGTGTGCATCAATAAATAAATCTTAAAAAAAAAAAAGCCACGCTGGGTTGGGGCAGAGAGAATGGAGTGAGTGAGAAAATAAGACAAGGAGGTTTTGAAGGAGGTGAGAGAAGGGGACTTACAGAGACAGGGTGCGGGTGCGGGGCCTTTGGGCAGCCAACCCTGGTGCCCCTGTGCCTCCAGGGCCCAGGCTCACTGCACCACTCTGGGCCCAGAGAGCGCGGACCCCCGCTAGGGACATCTCCCCGCTCCCTGCTGCCCCCCAGCCCCATTCCTCGGGCTCTTCCGCTTCTCCCCAGGCGCTGTGCTCCCCCC